CTTCCCCCTCCTCCTGTGCATTCTTCCTCGTTCCTTCGCCCGCCGCCTCCTCCTCCTCCCCTCCTTCTCCTCCCCCCATCGCCTTTTTTTTTCCCCCCTTTCCAGATTGCGCCCCGCCCCCGCTCCCCCTTCTGAGGCGCCAAGGAGACAGCGGGGCATCCGCTCAGACCAGCGCCCGCCACGCGAGGGAGGAGGAGGAGGAGGAGGAGGACGACGACGAGGAGAAGGAGGATGAGAAGGAGGAACGAGGCACGATGGGGATGTTTGGTGCATGATGGCTGTATTTTTTTGCCACGCAGCGGAAGGGCCGCTAGCGCCACTAGAACAACACAACGTACTCATCGAGGACACTCTGGTGCCAAGCGTGGGCCTCACGGGCATCTCTTACCAACGCTGCGCATACATTGCGAGTCAAACGGAACGTATTACTCGAGGGGGTCGCTGGGCCAATCGGCACCATCTCTTGCAACAGTAAGATCAACTCACCCCCGTCGAGGGCACACGCTGCAACTTTCCCACACCGCTCCCCCACCAGGGCAATATCACCAACATGGAACTCCACACCCTCCATGCAGACGGCCCTGGACACCTGTGCATTTGGATACTCTTGGATTGAACCAACTCGGCCGAGCAAACCATCCTTAAAATGAGCACCGCCTTCGCACAATTGATTGTATTGCCGCGTGAAAAGAGATGCGGACACAGATCGTTCCCATACTTCCGTGTTCTTGATACTCTCTGCCACCTTCTTAACTTGGAGGTTAAGCCTTTCCACCACGAACATATCCACCACGCACCCGTCCCTGAGAAATTGGGAAGGGGCGTGAAAGGACGCGTGGTGTTTGGGAATAACTGTTGCTTCGCCGTACGCGAGCTGGTGCTTGACACTGTGCTCCTTAAGGGCAGCAGGCAATTCCCTGGCCGCTCTCTCGAACACCTCCCCCGAAGACCGCTTGCACACTAAACATAAATCAAGGAGGCGGCACGCTGCCACGAATGATTCCCGTTCCCTTTGTAGCCGAGGGTCGTGCACTAAGTTCGTTTCTATGTAGTGGCGCATGATGACGTAAAGGCTAAGATATTCTGAGGCCTTGCAGATTACCTTTTGTTTTTCCTCATTGTGATCGGAGAATGCGTGGTGTAATCCCGCCAGCCCGCGAGAGGCCATGGGTCCGTCAAAATGGGGGAGTGGGAAGGGGGAGAGCAAGGGGGAGAGCAGTAATCTCGTCGCCCTGCGATGGCACAGGAAAGGCTCAAGACGGCCCCAACAGAGGCCCCGAGGGGGAGGGGGGGGGGCAGAATCTCACACCGCCAAAGGGGAATCAGCGGGCTAGGGTCTCGCAGCTTTGTTTCCGTTGGGCAGAAAAAAATTATCCTGGCGAAGGACCCAACCATATGCAATTGTGAATACTGCAAGTGTGAATATCTTCTCGGTGGAGCCCCCTACGGGGCCACGAAACGTACGAGGGGTGTGCCGAAATGTGTGTGCGGGACGCATGCGGGCACACCCACTGGGGCCTTCGGTGGAGCTCTCTATGGGGCCAAGAAACGTGTGAGGGGCGTGCCGACATGGGCGTGCGGGACGCATGCGGGCACACCCATTGGGACCTTCGGCGGAGCTCCCTATGGGGCCACGGAGCGCGTGAGGGGCGTGCCGAAATGGGTGTGGCTGGCGCATGCGGGCGCGGGCACTGGGGCCTTTGGCGGAGCTCCCTATGGGGCCACGAAACGTGCGAGGGGTGTGCCGAAATGGGTGTGGCTGACGCATGCGGGCGCGGGCACTGGGGCCATCGGTGGAGCTCCCTATGGAGCCGCGAAACGTGTGATGGGTGTGCCGAAATGGGTGTGGGTGACGCATGCGGGCGCGGGCGCTGGGGCCTTCGGTGGAGCTCCCTATGGAGCCACGAAACGTGTGAGGGGTGTGCCGAAATGGGTGTGGATGACGCATGCGGGCGCTGGCACTGGGGCCTTCGGTGGAGCTCCCTATGGGGCCACGAAACGTGTGAGGGGTGTGCCGAAATGGGTGTGGGTGACGCATGTGGGCGCGGGCACTGGGGCCTTCGGTGGAGCTCCCTATGGAGCCACGAAACGTGTGAGGGGTGTGCCGAAATGGGCGTGGCCGACGCATGCGGGCGCGGGCACTGGGGCCTTCGGTGGAGCTCCCTATGGAGCCACGAAGCGTGTGAGGGGTGTGCCGAAATGGGCGTGGGTGACGCATGCGGGCGCGGGCACTGGGGCCTTCGGTGGAGCTCCCTATGGAGCCACGAAACGTGTGAGGGGTGTGCCGAAATGGGTGTGGGTGACGCATGCGGGCGCGGGCACTGGGGCCTTCGGTGGAGCTCCCTATGGAGCCACGAAACGTGTGAGGGGTGTGCCGAATTGGGTGTGGGTGACGCATGCGGGCGCGGGCACTGGGGCCTTCGGTGGAGTTCCCTATGGAGCCACGAAACGTGTGAGGGGTGTGCCGAATGGGTGTGGGTGACGCATGCGGGCGCGGGCACTGGGGCCTTCGGCGGAGCTCCCTATGGAGCCACGAAACGTGTGAGGGGTGTGCCGAAATGGGTGTGGGTGACGCATGCGGGCGCGGGCACTGGGGCCTTCGGTGGAGCTCCCTATGGAGCCACGAAGCGTGTGAGGGGTGTGCCGAAATGGGTGTGGGTGACGCATGCGGGCGCGGGCACTGGGGCCTTCGGTGGAGCTCCCTATGGAGCCACGAAACGTGTGAGGGGTGTGCCGAAATGTGTGTGGGTGACGCATGCGGACGCGGGCACTGGGGCCTTCGGTGGAGCTCCCTATGGAGCCACGAAACGTGTGAGGGGTGTGCCGAAATGGGTGTGGATGACGCATGCGGGCGCGGGCACTGGGGGCTTCGGTGGAGCTCCCTATGGAGCCACGAAACGTATGAGGGGTGTGCCGAATTGGGCGTGGGTGACGCATGCGGGCGCGGGTACTCGGGCCTTCGGCGGAGCTCCTATGGGGCTACGAAGCGCTGTATTGGGTGGGTGAAACGCAGGGAAGAGGGGGAGGAGGGGGGAGGAGGGAGGAGGAGGAGAGGAGGCGGAGAAGGAGAGGAGGAGACGCGGGTCACCGTCTCTTCAAAACGAGGACCCACCACCACAGGATGGTTGGGAAAAACCTAGAGCGAGCCTGATAACGGCCCAAAGCGGGCGCGAATGGACCCCGCGCCCTGCACGGGCGTTTCGCCCTCTCGCCCTTCCACTTCCGATGGGTCCCTGCGAATCGTTAAATGGGCTGGCTGGGGGTCGCGAAGCGTCAACGATTCCGAATGTTTCACGCCGCGCCTCTTCGGAAATGCCCAATCTGCCCTCATAATGTCTCTCCAGAACGAAAAACGCAAACCAATGCTCTCACACGACGTCGAAAACAATGAGCACTCCTTAGAGAATGTCCCGTGCGCGAGAAGATTGTGGACCCAATCGGCACGAATCGCCGAAAACAAATCAACATTTTGACACGGAAGGGCGTCTGCCATCAACCCGTGGGGGTTTGGGTTGAACCCAAGACCCTGCACCATTTCTTTGAAGAATGCTTGCGTGATTTCGCTGCGGTCCCTCTGGCCCTTCAAGCGGAGCAAAACCTCCATGAGCTCTATGACCTTGGCATTGTCTAGAGGGCGAAACTCACTTGCTTCTGCGCAACAAATGCTCACGTTACCAGCAAGAAGGGGGACGTGTTTTTTTCCAAACGTTTTCACAGAATATACATGGTTTGTGTGATGACGTCCCCCCCCCAGTCAAAAGTCATGCGAAGCCCGTCTAAATCTGTTAGAATGATCGACACCTCAGCATGCAAGTGAAACACCTGCCCGTGCAACATGAGCGGGCAGCCCGCTGTCTTAAACGAGAGGGGACCGTCCACAAGCATGTGCAGCAGATCCCTGAACAATCGAGGCCATCCACCAACGACGGACTTGATTACAATTGAGCGGCAAAGAGCGAATGTCATCCACGTCAGCTCGTGGCACAACGCGGTGGGGCCTACTTCCATGAAGTTGAAACTAACGACCATTGTCTTGCGCCTGTTCGAGGGCTTCTTTTTGTCCCCCGTCGTAAACTCATCGAGTCCTATGATTAATTTCCAAGGTGAGTCGGCACAACATGGCGCGGCCCTCGCGGCACGCGCATGCAGCTCTTGAAACTCAGCCGAAGCTGAAACCATTTCTTGCAACAACAACGAGGGCTCAGAGACCTCCCATTTGAATTCGCCACCTTCTTCCAAAGCAACGTTGAAAACACGAGCCACGCGATTCAAAATGATTTGGTTTGCTTTTGCTAGCGTGGATTTGCCAACTACCTGGTCGTCCAACTTTGCTAAGATCTTGCTCAACCCATCAACTGTGGCGCACCCCGAATGCAACAACGATTGCGCCTTCAAACGCTTGGCTGCCATCGGGGCTCTCGAAGGACCTCATCGGTTCGAGCCCCCAGGGCCTCGAGCCAACAGCGGCTACGCACGATCGTGCCATGCATGCATCGTCACCTCGCGACTGCTCGAGCCGTCGCGAGGTGACGATGCGTGCATGCGGCCCAGATGCTTCTTGCGATGGCCATCGTCTTGGATCGTCTTGGGTCGTCTTGGGGGGGAGGAGATGAGGTTCTTTCCAATCGCAGAGAAACTAAACGCCGAGGCACCCCATTGCCACGGCGTTGCGCTTTCAAGCGGCAGGCGCCGCCCGTCTGAAAAGCCAGGGCCCGACAGTTGTGCGTCCTCCTGCTTCTCCTCCCCCTTCTCCTCCTCCTCCTTCTCCCCCTCCTCCTCCTCCTCCTCCTCCTCTTCCTCCTCCTCCTCCTCTTCCTCCTCCTCCGAGGTGTCATCATTCTACTCCTTCCCCCCCCCTCCTCCTCCTCCTCCTCCTTCTCCTCCTCCTCGTCCTCCTCCTCCTCCTTCTCATCCTTGTCCTCGTCCTAGCCCGCCACCTTCTTTCACCGCGCCGCCCTCGGCGGCTGGCCTAGAGCCCAGCTCGAGCTGGGACGGCACGTTCAGAACGTGCCCGCCTGGCGGATCAACGTGCGCACCGTCTCCAGCTTGCGCTTCACGTCGGCCAGGTAGCTCTTGATCGCCTTGACGTCGGGGCAGTGGCGGATGGTGCGATCGTTGTCGCCGCGGATGATCGCCTCGACGTCATTGTAGATGTCCTGGACCTTGATGTTGTCCTCCTCGACGGTGGTGCGAACGTTCGGCGGCATCCCAGCGAAGTTGGGGTTGCCGACGATGGTTACCAAAGAGTCGCGCATCTCCTGGACCTTGTCCCTCACAGACTCAGCACCTTTCATGGCCTTCGCGGCTTGCTTCTTGGCGGCGGCCTCCAGGAGTTTGGCCTGCTTCTCGCGCTCCTTCTCCTTCTTTGCCTTTCTTGAGTCCTTCTCTTTTTTGCTCTTCTTGTCCGTGCGGCTCTTCCTCTTCTTCTTGTGGCGCCTGCTATCGGAGGAACTGCTGTCGGAGGAACTCTCCGACTTGTCGGATTCGGCGCCAGCAACTTTAGCCCGCTTGCCGCCCCTCTCCGCCACGTCATCGCGGCGCTTGCCCTTCTTTCCTGCCGTGCCCGCCGAGTAGATCGGGACGCGGTAAGTGTTCGTGAACATGCGGTCGGGGCGGATGTCCCACGGATGAGACATGTCCTTGATGGTATCCGTGTCGAACCCGCGGGTCGCCCACACGCTCAGCGGCAAGAGCTCGCCGCCTTCCGCATACCACTCGGTGTGCTCTTCGAACCCCTTCATGTACTCGCGGAAGTGGGCGACGACGTCCTTGGCGGTGGTGATGTCCCGCACGCCGTTGTAAAACTGCTTCTTGGCCTCGTCGTCGAGGGCGGAGAATTCTGCTGTCGGCCACTCCCCCAGCTCCCTGCTGAGCTGTGTGATCTTGCACGCGCAGCGCGGGCATCTGAAATTGCCCCGCCCCTTGTTGCGCAGCCTGACCTTGTCGTCCAACTGGACCTCGCAGCCGCAGTCCGAGCAGTGCATGCGGAGGTCGTCAATGAACGTCGGCCGACTCGTGGCCACGGGCGCCTTGGGGCGCCCCGCGCGCGAATGGCAAGGCAAAGTGACGAGGGGCGCCTCTCTTTGTCACCGCGCCTCTTCTCGGACCTCAGCTCTCTCGAAAGAGTGGGGCCCGTGAAGAGGCGCGGTGACAAAGAGAGGCGATGCCATGCCATTTGCGAGCAAGGCGCGGGGCCATCGAAGGCTTCGGCTTCGCTGGGAACATGCCGTACTTCGGCGTGCGCCCGAGGCTTGAAGGCGCTGGCGTCGAAGGTGCTGGCGTCGAAGGCGCTGGCGGCGGCGCAGGGGCAGGGGCGTCGCCGAAGACTGCTGGCGGAGCCCCTGGCAGGGCGATGGTTGCAGGCGTCGGCGGGGTCGCAGGCGTCGGGGGCGGGGCGGCAGCGTCGTCGGCGGGGCCCGCGGCGTCGAAATCGGGCGACGGCAAGGAAGCGAAGAACTCGCTCATGGTCCTGGCCCGACGGAGCGGCGGGCGCGACGGCCGCGGGACCACGGGCTGCGGCGGCGGCTGCACCTCGGGATCGTCGCTGCCGACCTCCACGACCTCCGTTGGCGGAGCGCCGCTCGCCTTGCAGCGGGCGGAGGGGGGAGGGCCATCTCTCTCTCTCTCTCTCTCTCTCTCTCTCTCTCTCTCTCTCTCTCTCTCTCTCTCTCTCTCTCTCTCTCTCTCTCTCTCTCTCTCTCTCTCTCTCTCTCTCTCTCTCTTCTCTCTCTCTCTCTCTCTCTCTCTCTCTCTCTCTCTCTCTCTCTCCCTCTCTCTCTCTCCTCCTCTCTTAGCGAAACTTGGCCGTCAAAGGGGGCGACCGTGCAGACCCACCCCACGAAAAACCGAAAAAAAAAGTAACACTGGGCGCCCTGTGTGCTTCAGTTGCGCTCCTCCATTTCCCTTTCTCCTCCCTGACGTCATTCATCACTGCCCTTATCCTCCTCCCCTCCTCATCCTCGACCTTATTCTCCGCCTCCTTCTCCTCCTCCTCCCACCCCCTCCTCTCTCCTTCTCCTCCTCCTCTGCTCCCCCTCTCCTCGCCAAGCGCGACGTCGCCTGGCGCGCCATCATCTCATCCTCCTGCCGCTGGAGGTCCTGCGGGCTCATCCTGCAAGTCGGGCACTGCAGACATGACAGGGGCGTGCTGCACACCCTCACAACCTCTTCGATGCAGACCGTGTGGAACCTGTGAAGGCACTGCAAGATCTCGATCCGCACGTCCTGGGCGTCGTTGCCATCGGGGTCCTCGCGCAGCTCGCAGCGGCAGATAGCGCACATCTCCTCGACGTCGGCCGCTGGAATGCTCTCGGGGGCTTCGCTGAGCGCCATGCCGCTGCGACCCTCGCTGCCGAACTCAGCAGCCCCGTGGCCGTCCTCGGCCGCGCGGCTGACGCCGTCGGCCCCGTCGAGCGCGTCGCGCTCGCTGCCCTCTGCCGATTCGCCGACTGGGGACACTCCGAGCTGTCCATCGAGGGGGCGCGGGACTTCAGGCTCATTGTGAGCCATCGTGAACTCGGTCGTTCTAGCGGATATGCCGCTGAGCGTCGAAGCGCTTAAGCCAAAATGGCTTATGACAACCAAACGCAGTTGCGGAAATGCAGCTGGTCCGCGGAGGGTGCGCGGGGGGAAGAGAAGGCCCCCTCCCGCGGCCTCTTGAGCCCTCTTGAGGGCCATCTGAGGGCCCTCTTGCGGCCCAAAACGGCGGCCGACATAAGTGGCGATAGCTATCTTGGTCCAAGAAAGCTTTCACCACTTTTTGGGGGCCCTCTTAGGGCCCTCTTAGAGCCCTCGCGAGGCCTCTTGAGCCCTCTTGAGGGCCATCTGAGGGCCCTCTTGGAGCCCAACACGGCGTTCGAAATAAGTGGTGAAAACTATCTTGGCCCAAGCTAGCTTTCGCAACTTGATTAGGGCCCTGTTGGGGCACTCTTAGATCGCTCTTGAGGCCTCTTGAGCCCTCTTGAGGGCCTGAGGGTCCTCAGGCCTTCTTGGGGCCCTCTTGAGGCCTCTTGAGCCCTCTTGAGCTCTTTCCTCCGTCTCATTCTCCGCCTCCCTCACTTCCTCCTCTGCCCGTGGAAGGCCGACCTCCTGCTTGCCCGCCTATCCGCCTCCCCCTCCCCCTCCGCCCCCTCCCCCCCCCTCCCCCCCGCCCCCCCCCGCCCTCCCACCCCCCCTCCCCTTCCCGCCGCCCTCCACCTCTGAGAGCAGTCTGCGGCTGGCAGGGTCCCCGCGCGGCGCCGAGGCTGGCGGGGTCGGGGGGCGAGGGCGGGGAAGGGGGAGGAGGGGGAGGGGGGGGGAGAGAAGGAGAAGGGGGGGGGAGGAGGAGGGGGGGGAGGAGGAGGAGGAGGGGGAGGAGGCGGAGGACTGGACTGGACTGGACTCCTGGAGTTCGGTCGGTTGCGGGATTTTGGGGCCCAACTGGATTGAAACCTGGCCTCGCGAAAGAACACTGAGTGGCGTGCCCTTCGGGCCGCCTTCCTCTCTACGGCCTCTGCGCTCGGGCGGGGCCGCGCTGCCTCATTAGGGGCAACCCCCGATATGGCACGCAGCCTAGAGGCGCCACCTGGGGACCGATGAATTGCAGTCGATCCCCGTGGCCAGAGAGTACACTGGTCACCAAAGGATCAACACAAAATTTGGTGGCGACCGTGGGGCCACAGGGGGAGAAACACGGAACGCTTCGTGCAGCAACAAAATCAAATTTGTCGCGGGTGCGCTGCGGGCAGCCCGAGGAGGGGGAGGAGGAGGAGAAGGAGGAGGGGAGGAGGAGGAGAAGGAGGAGGAGGAGAAGGAGGAGGAGGAGGAGCACCCTCAACAAAATCAAATGCGTTGCGGGTATGCTGTGGGCACCCCGAGGAGGAGGAGGAGGAGGAGGAGGACTGCCACGGGGCGGGGGTGGGGGGGGCGCCTCTCGAGGCCCGAAATCCCTGGCAGCGCGCCAGATCAAGGCCTGCCAAGTGGTGAGCGGAAGAGCCGCTTGATACTGGCAGCGCGCCAGATCAAGGCCTGCCAAGTGGTGAGCGGAAGAGCCGCTTGATAAGCGCTGGAGGCGTCGGGGACAAGGAGGATGAGATGAAAGAGGAGGAGGAGGAGGAGGAGGAGGAGGAGGAGGAGGAGGAGGAGGACGAAGAGAGGAGGAGGATGACGAGGAGGAGGAGGATAAGGAGGATGGGGGGGAGTGATGACGATGAGGGCAGGATGAGGAAGAGGAGGGAGGAGGCGGGGGAGGCAGGACGGTGGAGGAGGTGAGGTGACAGAATGAAGGGGTGTCATGTAAGGAGGATGATGATGGTGGTTTGCATTGCGTTTTCAGACGTTGCGCTAGACCCTGACAACGGCCTGATAACACGTTATCAGGTTTCTACACATGCGTTATCACGGTCGTGATAACGCATTATCACGATATGCGTGATAACACCATGTACCGAGTGATAACGTCAACACGTTTCCTGATAACATGTTATCAGGTGCGTTATCACGCATGTATGCGTGTGTTATCAGACATTGTGATAACATGTTATCATGGTATGTCACTCGTTATCACATGCTGGTGATAATGTGTTGGTAACACAACCATGGTGCATGAATCGTGCGGGTGCGCTGTGCGCGTCACACCTGACGTGGGCTCTCATTTGTGCAGGGTGTAATGCCTCTGCGCAGACGGATGAATGTTTACCGAGCAAAACGCGCGCACAAGCTACACTCGTAGTGTAATTGAACAGACGCACGCAAGCATCCGCAAGCTGCAGCGTGAGTCGGTGGTTGGCGCCCGATACTTGCCGAACCCGCCCTCGCCCCGACGAGGGCAAGGCGCAGCGAAGCTGGGAGATAGAATCCTACAGTGATCTGCGCATGCAACCTCCCTGCCCACCAAGACTGTACCTGCATGTACTAGCAAACTTTGAGCTTGTCCCACTTGGACGCGGCGGCAGCGTACGCCTCCCTGGCAATCACCAGAACCTTGGCTGGCGACATGCCAGCGACGGATGCCCGCTTCTTCGTGTTGTCGTAAGCTTTCGACGTGAAGGCACCGCGGGTGGTCTTCTTCATCGTGGACTTGGTGATGGACAACAGGTCGGAATAGTCAATCCCTTTCGTCTTCCCGCTGCCGCCCTTGGTAGCGGCCTTCATCGCCGACTTCATGGGCGGCGGAGTGGCCTTGCGAGCGGCCTTCATCACCGACTTCATGGGCGGCGGTGTCGTCACTACATCGTCCTCATCTGATGCATCGTCGCCCTCGTCCTCGGCGGCGTCATCCTCGCCCTCGTCCTCGGCGGCGTCGCAGATGGCGGCGCAAGCTGGCTTCTTAGAAACGCTGAAAGCGCGCTTCCTGCCCTTGGCGGCGAGCCTCTTCTCCTCCATCATCTTCATCGCGTTATGCACGGAGTCCTTGAGGGAGACCCTTGGGGGGGCGACGGGCTGATCACCAGGTGCGGCTGGCTGGTCTCGATGGCGCTGGGGCGTGACTTGGATGGCGCCATGGTCGGGCGCCGACTCTGGCTGGGGCAGAGGCGCCATGCTACTTTCATGGTGCCCATCGGCCTGGTCCAGCGGCGGCGCAAGGTCGCCGCGCTGCTGGTGTGGCGACGGAGCGCTCTGCTGGCGGTGGTGGTCTGGCGTCAACAGCTGCAACCGATTCGAGCTCGGGCGTCCACCAGCACGCGCGCCCTGGGAGAACACTTCCAGGTTCTCGAGGAGGCCGTTCCCAGCACCGCCGCTGCCTGAAGCCGCAGCGCCACCGCGATTACCCGCCACGAGCTGCATCGCGTTGATGGCAAAGGCCTGCATCTGCTGCATCTGCTGCTGCGACTGGAGCAGCATCTGCCTGATGTCCGACTGCGGCTCGATGGGGGCAAGCGCCAGGGATGTCGCGCTAGACTGGGCGCCGCGCTGGAAGTCCAGCTCGGGCCCCGAGCCGCGGCACCTGTAGGAGTTGTCGATCTCGAGCAGCCTCTGCATGTTGAGCGGGCACCTCATGGGCCCGTCGCCAGGCCTGGTGCTGAACGCTTTGTTGTACGCGGCAGGGTAG